GCGAGGAGAGGGCCCGCGGCTGCCGCCGCCGCCGTCCGCCGGGGAAGCGCGGCGAGGGGCGGGGTCGGCCGCCCTGTCGTTCACGGCGGGGGCGGGGCCGCCATGGCCCGCGCGCGTCGCGGCTGCTGGCGCGGGCTGCGACGGGGCCGACCGCGCGCGGCCCGGCGGGGCTGCGCCCATGGCTGGGCGAGGGCACGGCCTCGCGTGGCTGGGCACTGGGAGGGCCCTCGCCGCTGCTCTGCGCGGGGGTCTGGCCTGGGGCCGCGGACCCGAAGCCGTCGCTTGTCTGCGACGGGAGCCGGCTCTAGGTAGCCGCTCCAATGCTCCCCGCGAAGCTCGCGAGGAGTTCGGCGTCGCGGCCAGCGCCCCATGGAGGAGGGCCACGCACCTGAAGCCGCAGCGCGGGGCGGGCCCCCACCTAAAAGGATCGGGCAACGGCGCGACATGCAAAATCCGCCGGCCCTGTCGGCGTGCGTGGGGTGTCTGTCTGGCCCCGTCGACGGGGAGCCTTCTTTCGCCCCCTCCCGTCGGGGGAGAGAGAGAGAGAGAGAGCACCCTTCCTCGTTGACGGGTTCGCAGCTTGAGAAAATTCCACCCACGTCCTCATTACGTCAAAGGGAAGTCCCTTCCCTTTGTCCCTTCCCCGGCGGGGGGGGGGCCCAGGGGGGGGGGTCAGATTCGCATCGCCTCTGGAGGTCCTCCTCTCCCACGCCGGTCCTTCTCCGGCGCACTGGTCCTCCTCGGGTCATCCCCCCCAGGTGGGGAGGGGCCCCAGGGGGGGAGTCAGACACGCATCCGTCCCTGGGGTCCTCCTCCCCCTCCCTCGCGCCGGCCCCCCTTCAGTCCTCCTCCCCAAAGGGGGGGCGCTCCCAGGGGGGAGTCCTTTTCATCCTCTTAATCCTCCTCCACCTCCTCCTCCTCATCTCCGCCTCCTCCTCCTTTTCCTCCTCCTCCCCCTCCTGGTCGTCGCCGATGTTTTTCAGGGTCGGCGGCGCGGGCCGTCAGGCCTTCGCAGTAGCGAATGACAGCAGCTGGCCGGAATGGCACCTCATGGAGGCAACTGGGCGGAGGACGGGCGGCGGCCCGTCGAGGCTGGCGAGGGCAATCCCGCGACGGGCGCCGCGAGGCTTGGCCGGGTGGGCCCGCCCAGCGATGGCCACTGGGCCCCCGCCAGAGGAGGTCGCTGCTAGGGCGCGACCCGAGCTGAAACGGCGGAAGGCGTTCCGCG